TCTTCTTTAGGCTCTAATCTCCTCTCAAGGCTTCATATTAAACATTTAGGTCATATAATTTTTTTAAATGTTATAATAAAAATAGATAAAATTCAAAATAAAGTATTTTATATCCACTCTCTTTAAATTAATCTATTAACTATTCTAATATACATCTAGATTTATTAATATATAATATATTTTAACTAAGTTTTATATATTATAAACTTTTACAGTATGACAATGGATGAAGCCTTCTTCACTCTTATCAACTCCTTTCTTGCTTCTAATCTAGATTCAATAGTCTCTAGTTTTCTTGTCTTTTAGCAATAGTTGTTTCAATTTCTTTTTAATATATATACTTCTTTATTTTTATTTTATCACTTTTTTTATATATGAATTTCATAAGTTTATGCATCTTCTTTTAGTTCATGTGCTTGATAATTCTACCACCAAGATGTCGTTTTGTAAGTAGTATTGATCTGAAAAATATTATAAGTGATAGTAGGATGTTTTGCATGCTTTGGAAAAAAGATAATAATTTTATTTAAAGAAATTATGACTTGTCAATTAAAACAATGGATATGATTTATATTAATAAATATGTAGAATTAGAGATTATTGAATAAGCTATGAATTCACTTTTTTGCAAAGATTAAAGTCATGCTATGAAGAAAGAACTTGATTCTTTGAAAGATTATGATACATAAATTTTTTTATTATTATCCAATCATACAGAGGTTGTAGATTCAAAATAGGTGTTTAAGAAAAAACTTATTAGCGATGGCTATATTAAATGTTTTAATACATTATTGGTTGCAAAGCATTTTACACAAGTAAAGGGTCTTGATTACTAAGAAGATTTTGAATTACTTCCTTACTTTGCAATAATTTATATATTTGTTGTAATTGCTGCTACCTTTAATTAGAATAAGTTGTAATTTGATTTTGATTTAGCTCATTTAAATAAAAATCTTAAAAAAAAAGATATTTATATAAAAATTTCAAAAGATTTGAAAGTTCCTTTGGAATACAAAGGTAAGTTGTTGCAATTGCTTAAGTCTTTATATAATTTGAAGCAATTTAGACGTAGATGGAACAAGAATTTGAATAAAACTTTTTTGAATCTTAGTTGAGAGTGTTTAGAATTAGATCTTTATTTATATATAATATATATTAAAAAACTAATTTTTACATTAATTATCTATATCAATGATGTAATTATTAGTAGCAAGAACTTTGAGATCCTTGTGAAATGTAAAGATAAATTACAAAAGTGCTACAAGATGAAAGACTTGGTCAATCTAGTGATTTTTTTTTGCATTGATTTTTTGCGATTTTAAGTCATATCACTAAGCATGAAAATGATGATCTTTTGGGTGCAAAAGTTATAAAGCTTTATCAAAAAGATTAAGATTTATTATTGTACCTTAGAAATGATACAAGATATGACATTGTATTTGATTGTCAATACTTTGCTTAATACATGGTACATCTATATGTTTTATATTAACAAGGAATCAAAAGAATATTTTATTACTTATAAAAAATAAAATATTTAATATTGCAATATAGAGGAAAATAAGCAAATTTACAATTTATAGGCTATTGTGATGCAAATGGAATAGGTTGAGTAGAAACGCACTATTCAATATTAGTTTATGCATTTATATTGGAGGGGGCAATTATCACTTGATTAAATAAGAAACAATCTTTAATTTTTGTTTTGTCAATAGGAGTAGAATATGCAATTTTGGTTGTTGTAACAAAGGAGACTTTGTGGTTTTGTAAAGTATTTAGGGATTATGACATTTTTGAACTGGAAAGGATTTTCATTTGTGAAGATAACCAAAACGCCATTGCTATTGCTAAGAATCTAGCACACCATGGCCGTACAAAGCATTGAGATATAGAATATCATTTTATTAGGCAATGTATGGAGAAAGGACAAATTGGTTTGGGATATTGTTCCATGGAACAAATGGTAGTGGACATCTTCACAAAACCTCTTTCTAGAGATAAGCTTCTAATTTTTAGAGATATATTAGGTCTTGTTTCAGTAGAGAATTAAATCCCACTTCTAGAGGAGTGTTGAATGTTCCATACTATATGTACCAAAAGCTATGACTTATCGAGCATTTAACTCAAACATTGGAAGTGCCCTTCCCTTGGCTTCTGGCACTTTTTATTAGCAACTAATGATGTCCATCTTGCTTTCATGTTTTCATCCTATTTCTTGATATGCCAAGCATTGACTTGTACTGCAACCCTTCTCACTGTTCTGGTATTATTAAGGACATTGTTTATCGATCCAGTAGTGTGTCTATGTAGTGTTCATCCATCGTTGCATTGTTTTGCTTCTCTTGGTTACAAGATTTTCGATCGAAATATCTGACTCCAATTTTCAGCTACCTGATGCACAGATTTTCAGGTCAGTGGGTACCGGCGACGACGGGGTTGCAGCAATTGCGAGTGGCTGTAAGTGTTCAAAGGTGGTGAATATAACTTATTGCAAATCCATCACAGATGCTAGCTTATACTCGCTTGCACTCCTCAGAGATCTTTTGCAGCTAGAGTAACGTGATTGCTTGAAGGTAACCTCAGCAGGTATAACCTATATAGTAGAGTCCTACAAACTCTTGTAAGATTTGGATATCAAGCGTTGTATCCGTGTTGGAGATCTCGGCATACTATCTCTTTTAGAAGGATGTCAAAACCTTTGGTAGGTACTGGTCTTGTGGAAACATTTTCATGATGTATTTGTCTTCACAATTCAGCTTCCCTTTCAAACGATGATCAGATGCTTATTTCCTGGACGCTTGACCTAGCAGATCAATCTGTCGTATACTGCAGTGTCGGACTTGGAGATGATGGCAATTGCAAGTATGTCATGCATCCAGGATATGAAGTTGGTTCATATGAAGAACGTTACAATTGATTGCTTTGCCAAGATTCTCTTGGCATGCAGCAGCTTGAGAAAAGTAACGCTCCTCTTAAGGTTACGTACAACTCTACTTTCCGAGGTGATGAGGCACATTGAGGATCGCGGAACCAGGTTACGCTGGATGCAGAAACCTGATTAAGAGGCTTTTGGGGAGCGAGACGGTTGTCATCTTTTGATGAAGTGAGGATTCCTCTAAAGATTAAGAACTTGTTATCATGCGATGGAGGATATGTAAGAGCAGGGATTCCGGTCGAAGACTGATCATGGAGAGGCTTGAGGCTCCAGTAACTCAATCCTCATCCTTGATACCAATCCCCAGGCTTGAAGACTGATCAAAGAGAGGCTTGATTTTATAGCTTCCCTCAGTTTATTTATTTTAAAATTTTCCTATATTTTCTTTAATACTTATGACAAATATCTCTAGAAGCTTATATTGTGCTGGATTTAGAGATATATCTGAGCAAGGTACAGGTCAAATAGCGCTGCAAACTGACTGCATCCACTGACTTCCAAGTGTCCAGAGGAGCTGAATTATATTAGTAATCTTCGCTTGTTTTTTTTCCTTCTACAATTAATCGCACTGTCATTTCCAATTCAAATTCCCTAAATGCGCTGGGCATATTATAATATTTCTGTATATTGTAGCTGCTTGACTGCCTTTTGATGTTGAAAATTAGAAGAATATTCATGTAAGTTTTGCCATTCTCATTTTGAATGAAAATTGTTAAATTTTCGTCGACCCAACATTGTTGGAAACTGGAGTTTTTCCAGCAGCTAAACGGCAACTTTGTTGAAAGTTACCGTAGTGTGGGTGGACCATCTTTTATTTACACTGGATATACTCTATGTTGTGAAGAGTGCATGCATAATGATTCATACGTCTCTCAGTTAATGCATCCTTAAAAACCGCAGCATTTAAACATTTTCACACTACATTTGTTTGAGGAAATGAATCATGGATGTCGTACATATTTTCTCAATACGATTGTTCACTTGTGACGGGCAGCATCCAATACTTTTATTTTATTTTTTTTACTTTGAAGGAATGCCTTCTTGAAGGGTTTGGCCACTCTGTAGTCAGACTGATCACAACCCACCAAATATTGAACTAGAAAATAAAAATGATATATTTGAATGCAGCAAATTATAAGAAATGTGGTATGTTTGTCAACTACTCAAGCATGTTGAGAAGAAATATATTCTTTTTACTCAACGTACAACACTATCATATCAAACATTTCAATCCTACTTTATCAATTTCAATTTCCAAGACTTGATGGACAATTGTATCTCTCAAATTATTTTTATAAATAGAAGTTCAGTACATGGCATGTTATGACCATTAAAGTATATATATATATATATATATATATATACATATGTGTTCTATATTTATTATACAAACTTTTAATTATGTCATATTTTAGGTTTAATATTAGAGTTGTTTTTGTCAATTCCAAAATTAGCTTATAATTGAAGAGTCCAACTTAAAGAAGAAAGTAAAAGAAGCCAAAGTACCAATAATTAATAAGAAAAAGAAGAAGGATAGAAAATCTCAAAGAAAGTTTTGTTCAACTAATATTAAAAATAATAAAGATTTATCTCAAGTCTTAAAAATAAGTTTAAAACACAAGACTTCTAGAATTTACAAAACTAAAAATGATGAAGATATTTATTATAGACATTAACAAAATTAAAATATCATATCTATCTCTAACATCATATATTTTTTCTTACCATATTAATCGAATTTTTTAGCACTTGCTTTGGCTTAGACATATTCTATTACAATTAATAATAATAAATAATTATCATTTTTTGATTAAGATTTTTACACACATTCAATTTTTTTACATATAAAAACTCAATATTGTTACATTATATATAAATATAAAATATTAATTATTTTCTAAGTTAAGTATTTTCCACTCAATATGAATATCAAAATAATGCAAATTTATAATAAAAAAATCAATATTTCTAAAAAAGATAGATAGCAAACTTCACAATGTAGATGTTTTATAACTATAATTCAACAAATAGTTTACAATCAACTCAATTATAAATATGACACATATAAGCAAAAAATGTCATTTTAATCAGCATTTTCAAGTTGATTCACATACCTTTGTACATCAACTAATCCAATAGCATGTAACAAATGATTTTTCAACCTAAGATTCATCAAACTGCATTAATGCTTACAAAACACAACAATTAATGAAATGGCATAACACCGCAAGAAACTAGACGATCTAACCTAATCGCTTCATGCTTCTACTACCTAAAACAAACAGTAAGTTGAAAATAAGAAACAAGAGATTGTCAAATTGGTTTTTGCATGGTAGTTTGATCATCGATCGATCGTACATTTAATGGAATCCTTCAATCGATGAAGTGAAGGTTTTGATACGGTCCAATAGTGAAGTAAATAGATCGCCTAATACACAAGCAGAGATCTTTGCTCAAGGGGAAGGAAGTTTGATCCCTACAATCGATTGAACTACGATCAGGATTAAGCGACTAATCCAAGGCACTAGATTGTTGGAACGACGGTTTTGATGACTTGCCACTAGATATCTGATCAATTTAGGAGTGACTAATATCAAATTGGAACTTTGCTGTATCATGAAGGAATATCTCAATGTGGATACCAAGCCTTGTTAGCTTGCGTATTCATAGGTTTAAATTAGATCGTGATGCTTGAAACTATGATCTAAGACTTCCAGAAGACACAAAATGACCAAACTAAGTTTCTTAATTGCATTCACTTCTAATCCATGGCACTCTTGTGAGTAAGAAATCAACAAATCAACATCTAAGAGAACCACAATCTCACTATCATGTTGTGGTCAAAACCAGTCGATGTCAAGAGCTAGAACCAGTTGCAGCATTCGATATCGATAGTAATACCTGGATCTATTGATTAGCCGTTGCTAGCGTCGGGGACGAAAGAGAGGGTCGATCGCGATCGGATTACAGTGTTTGACACAAACGCTCAGTTCCTTGTGCCAATTACAGACACCTGCGCTGCCTCGCGGAAGTCCTCGACTTGCACGAAGTCCAGTTGGAGAATCTGGGCCAACGCAATGGCCACAGCTTGTAGCGAAGGGGCTCCTAACGGAACAACGCGCCGAAATGACAATCGTCTCTTGCCCGGGGCCGCTCGAAACAGGAAGTAGTATGCGAGTGCCCCTATATTGGGTCCGAACGCCAAGGCCAGGCTTGAAAGCCAATCCTGTCTGCCCCAAGATTAGTCTTACGTAATTGGAATTGCCCTCACCATGTGAATATCCAATTCCACAATCAGATGAATAGTGAAGGTCCTCGTTTTACATTACTAGGACTAAACACAATCCTTCACGGAAGCCCAGATCAGGGAATCCATCCGCAGTACCAGGGCAACTTGTAAGGACGGCGGTTTTAGAACAACATGGATGTCTTATTTTGAACGCCTACTTGGGATTCCTAAAAGGAAAATAGCGCGACGTGTCAATGTCATAAAGCTAGCTATATTGAGGATAAAAGGAGTGGTCGTCGCGGTGGTGGCTTGGACGCTGCACAACAACTCCGATCATCAGTCAAACAAGAGGAGAATGCTTTAAGACACGATCTGACTAATTGTAGAAAAATCTTGCAACTTTCATTGTAGCAAAAAGCTCTCAGTCCCAAGAAGGAAATACGCTCTCGCTGTTGCTGCACCATCTAAGACCTGGAGGAGGCACTTGGAGGCATGCTTTAGATTACCTCAAAGCTTAGAAATGGACTTGAAACAGATCGCCGGTTCCAACAGGTTGCAAGCAACAACTTCCCCAACAGTGAGCTACACCTACACAACACAGAACAGTAACTGTGACGACGAGGTAGAATGAGGGGATGTCTCTCCGAATCAAGCACTTTCAACTTGAATTTAACAGGTCAAGGGTTTTTTTTCTAAAAAAAGCATGACAAACTTGTAAATCTTGCAACTGGGTCCCATTCTTTCACAAATGGGAATTGCTGATCGGGCCTTCATGCTCCTCACAGTTTGTCTAGTAGAATGGTTCCCCGTGAGTGCTGCGTAACATGCCTCGAAACTCATTACAACCACTTCTCAAAGTTTGCTTGCCTGCTGGATGGTTTATATATATATATATATATATATATCTCTCTACATATTTATTTATTATTTTTTTCTCTTTCATTAAGTAAAACGTTGTACCAAAGTATGTTTAAATGTTTGTGGAGTTGAGATAGGATTTCATCTGGTGGTTCCTGATAAGATGACGGTTGTGGGATGTGATAAAGTCCTATTTTTAGAGGGTAACTCTGGACACGGAATGCCAGAGGGAGTTTGTTTGATCCACAAATTATAGACTGTTTTTTTGGTTCTGAGTAAGTCTATTCACTGCAATAATTTGAAGTGTATAGATGAGTTTAGGATAAGAATTTTCAACGAGACAAAAGAATAGAGGTAATGAAGAAAGAAAGAAAATATATATATATATATATATACATATACATATATGTATATCGTGTGAAAGTCATTCATTCTTTTTAAGAGATTACTATTTAAATAAACTGATGCTTTGATAATTTTGTAGTAAATTAGGAAGATAATCAAATCTAATAGAGCATTTACTTATTTTTAAAAACACTACACTTTTCTATTAAAGTAACTTCTTGAATACTCTTAAAATTATTAATCACTACCTAATTTTGTGAATTAGATTTCAAAAAACTAGATTTCTAAAAAGTCTCAATCTTATTATATTCTTATTTGTAAAATTGGTTGGCCAAAGAGTGAATAAAGCTTAAATAGACAAAGTAAAAAGTAGTTATAAAGGCATGATAATATGGTATTTCAAACTATAAATTTCTCCTAATGCCAATATTGTATGATTTATATATTTTAAAATATCACACATCAGTGATTGTACATAATTACACCATTATGTTGGATAATTAATAGATACTTGTATACTTTTTAGAATATAAGAAATTGATAAGTATTTTATATTAATGTAGTTTTTTATATTGCAATGCACATTTTTTTTATTAAAATATTAAAAATCATTCTCAAGTGTAGTTTTCTATTGTTAATTTTTTTTAATTAATTATTTACTTGCTTTTGATTCTGAATTTATTGACTTTTGGTGCATATGTCATTATGCAAGTTGTACACAACCAAATTTACATCATTCAATGCATCTTATACTCAGAAAAATCATTCATTAAAGATCAACTTTTATATCTTTTAATTCCTATAACAGTCAATTTTTTTTATAATTTAATTGATAAAATAAAACTTACAAATGTTTATTTTTTTTTATAAAATATAATCAATTTATTATTCAGTTCTATGTTTATTGATGTTATTGGTGAATGCAAGAATGCCTTATAAACCCCATTAAGTTAATTTTTAGTATTTAAACCAATATTTTGTAGAAATCACATCAATTGCAGTATATATATATATATATATATATATGAAGCCTTGGTTGTAATATCATGTTTGATAATATTGACTCATTTCTTTTGAATAATTCATTTGTATATATATATATATATATATATGTAATAACTACTTCTAAAAATATATGTATAGTAAAACTAAGAATATAAATGCCTATTGATTTAAAATATATCTTAAATAACTAATTTAAATATTTCATAGATAATAAGATCAATAAAAAATTAATTTACTAAATAAATATGTACAAACATATAAACATATAAGTATATTTATAAATTTTTAATAAATATATAATTTATCAACAAAAAAAAAAAAAAAATTGATTAGCATAAAATTTCTTTTAATATTCAATAAAGTTAAAATTAAAGTATGTAATATATCTATATCAAGATATATATATATATATATATATATATATATATATAGATAATGATTTATAGTTTGTAACTTTTAATATTAAGAAGTATGGATAAATTTAGATACAAGTGAATGTGCTTATTATGTAGTGCAAGCAATTCAAATTTAGAAATATAACATGTTTAAATTCTGAAACTTATAATAGAAGAACTTCTTAAAAAAATGAACTAATGCATTGGCATATTTGTAACTTTTTGACACTCTTATGTATAATTTGTTCATATCTATACCATTTGTGATTTTATTTCACACTTACAATAAAATATATGTGATTATTAGAATTCAAATTTTAAAAACAAAAAATAAAAGAGAATTTCATTTTGGAATAAAATTTCAGTGATCTTAGAAAAACAAAATATTGTATACTAAGGCTGGTTTATTATAAAAGAATAATTATTGTGATTAATAAATTATAAAATTTTATGCTTATTATATAAGTATAGTATCACCTTATGCATTAATTAATTAGCATTCATTTAATATAAATAGTACTTTGATTAGACTTTTCTTTTAAATGAAAATATTAAAAAATACTTCAGAATGTTATAATATTATTTTCAATATTTTAAAACCAAGTTTTAATGAAAAACATGTTAAGTTCGAAAAGATTTAACTTTTTTATGAAAACTATAATATTTAAAAGAATAAAGAATAGAAATGGTACATACACTAGTTTTCTTAAGTCTTTTCAAGATATAAATAAATGTTGTATTATCTTGACTAAAATAGTTTCAAGTCTGATTTATTTCAAGCTTTTACTAGTTATTAATTGGATTTAGTATTTTATAAATAATATCGATGATTTTCATAGTGCATCTTATTATTCTTAAGAAATGTTTGATAATATAAATTTCTTCTCTTCAAATTGTTTTAAATATTCAATAAGTAATATTGTTAAATTATTTTCAAATTTTATTCCATTTTATTTGATTAAATTTCTTTAAACTTATCTCTTCAGCATATTAATTTTTTGAATAAAAATTAACTTAGACATTACTGCTTTGCTGATATATTTTTCATCTAAAAAATAATTTAAAACGCATATCCAATAAAAAAAATTAAAAAATTACAAAAGATTCTGAGTTACAATTACATAAAAATTAAAAAGCAATTTTGGTTGAAATATGAGGAATAAAAATCACATGCACAAAAAGTTCTCTATTTGAAAATATATTAATTTTATTTTTAAAAATAAACTTAATATTTGTTTTACTTACTGAAGAGTCTTAATTATTTTAGAGCTTTTCAATTGCTATCAAAAAAAGAGACATAGTAGATTGATTTTTCCTACATATTTATTATTTTATATAATATATTTTATTTAAAATTAATAATCGAATAAATTAGACATTTATATTTTATAAAAAATATATATAAGAAATTATAAGTTTCGAAGTAAAAAAATTTATGTTTTAAATAATTTAGATTTTTATGGATATAGACAAAAATAAAAGATCCAATAGATTCCTATATTAAATATAATTATTTAAAATTAAGTTTTTAAATATAATTTTCAATTATATATAATATTTTGGATTGATTATATTTTTAAATTTTTTATTTTTACAAATAATTTTACAAATAATTAATTTTTAATTTTTGAGGCATCTAAATTCAATCATAAATACTCTATTTTTTTATTTAAAAAAGTATTTCTAAAAATTTCGTCTATCAGCTTGTATGGTGCTATAATCTATTTCTTGATGTATTTTATTGTTACAAACATGGTTATTTTGTATTTATCCACCGCCTCTAATTGGTCAATAAATTATTTTAATATCTTCCATAGAAAATCTTTGCCATGGTGATTATCAAAGACATGTTTTTAAATGATTTAATCTTGTTTCTTATAAATTTATGTATAGAAAAATACCTCAATTTTTTTAAAAAAATAAATTACGATATAAAATCTATATTTTAATATTACAATTGTTTAAATTTGAAAAATTTTATTGATTAAAAAAAGTTTTCAATATATTGAGACCAATCAAAATAATGTCTTTTAGCCACTTCTTACATGTAAGAAATTGTTTTCTTAATGAATGCTTTACTAAGCTATTATAGATCAAATGACTATTCTTTACACTACTTTAATTTGCCAATTGACATCCAATCTAATATTTCCTGTCCTGTAAGCTTATCCTCCCAAAAATATTCTCCTCCTTCATTTCCATAATTATTTCTTCTAAACATTCTCCACTCCATCAACAAGCTTGGGTATCATCATACATGAGTCTTTCTAGATAAAAAATATAAACAATTTTAAAACGCTGCTTGAATTCAGTCATATTTGCTACATAACAAATCTTTGAAAATTGTGTGATTCTCCGCTGATTTTGCACGTTAAAACATATAAACAACTCCCCAAACAAGCGTATTCAACTCCTTCCCAAGTGTGACAAAATGAGGACCATCAAAGAATATACCTCGTATCAGAACTAATTCCCTAAGATTAGATGAACCCAGTGGATTTATTTATTTTTTTGAAAGGGATTCAACCTCCTCCCTGTTCAAAAAAACACAAAACAAAACAAATCACACATCCACTCGTCGAAACTAGCAAAATCGCCCAATAATTCGTTTTTCATGACCAGATGTGAATGAACCGTGTTCTTGCTGTTGTCTGTTCGGTGAGTGTTGAAGAAAGAGGGCCAGGTCGGATTCGTCCGACGATGGTGTCGATGCACTCTAGTGTACAGTCCATTGCATTGAATCCAACGCTGACTATGAACTTGTGATCGAGTTGGATCAAAGAGGGTGCGAGAGAGTGAGAGTCGTTAAGTTGCATGTTGTTCCAGACTGTAGTGAGTGAGCATTGTAGCTCTGGCATCAGAAACTGGCTGGCTGGCTTTTGCTGTTGATGTTGGTGGTGTTGCTGTTGTGAGCAGCATTCCTCGAGTGGGGCAACAGTGGCCCTGTGCAAGGAGTTGTTTAATTGTGGGTTTGTTTGCCTGTCTGTGTATGTGTGCCGCAACGGGCGATGACGATGAGCACGTGATTCCACCCTCCCGTA